GAAAGACTAGGCAAACCCTTCTTGGTTCAAGAAACCCGTTTGGTTCATAATTAGATTTTTCCTGTCCATAAGTAATATACTGTCAGATAAAAATAAGTTTTGTGGGTCGAATATATGACCGAATTATGTTCGAAGGAATATATCTTAAAATGTAACATTTTTGAATCAAGAATATTCATCGGGTTTTTCTTTATTATTTTCCAAGGACAGGATACGTTTAATGCTGCGTATAAACACCAACATGTGAAGAAATTGGCTATCTACGTTCCAGCCTAGACTTTAATGGACGAAGAAAAGGGGTAATTAAACCCACATGCCGATGGAGAGCCACCGTAGCTCAATAAGTAAGAAACTGGCTCACTAGCCAATAAAATCCGTGGCTTGATAACAGTGTAAGCTAAAAAAGGTTCCACGATTCATCAATTATTCGCGATGTTGTTGGCTTGTTACCCTGTCAATAATAAAGATGAACGCCTTTTTCATCTACCATTGTTAGCCAATCTGAATGACACTTTGATGTGTAGCTTCAAATTATTACAGTACATGATATCGCGGATAAGTTAGTCACATAGTTATTGTTCTTGATCAAAACCAAGATATCTTGTGAACGTGTTTGGATATTGTACAGTTATTGCCCTTAATTTCTACGTCAGAGGGCCTTTGCTACACAATCTTGGCTATCCAGACAATGTGATCTGAATCGAATTGATCATATCTGGGACATTCTTGGGTGTAAATTCCTTCAGGGGGGTGGGGGCTATCAGTGTAGAATCTTGAAGTTTTAGAACAGGTACTTAACCACGAATGGAACAGATTTAGGCAGGTTCTGATCTTGCATCTCATTCCGTCAGCAGACTGACCGAGGCTACACCAGATTTTGATTTGTTCATTGTTTTGACGACTCTATGGACAACTTGAACATGAAATGAAATGAACCGAACTGTAAGATTTCCTATTGACCTGTACCAACCATAGTTTTCCGCTTCTAGTTTTGAACTCGACAGATGAGATTAAATGTGCTTCTTCAACGCAAGTGTTTGTCTTTCTTTGCTGGTTCAATACTTCTCCGAGGTCGTTCGAGAAGACGGGATACCTCCCAGAACAAAATGACGTATTATACCAGCCTATAAACGGGATCCCGCAGTTCCGTTCCGTCAAAAATACATAAGGTGTTACTGTGGACAAGAAAACCATCTTTGAATAGAACAGACAAATTCATTTTCGTATACAAACTTGCAGTGATTAATCGACATTAAAAATTCGAAGAGGAAAAGACAAAAAACGTCGATGCCCGGGTAAATTGTTCTTGATTGCGTTCAAAGTAAATTGATGAAATATAAACTACATCCCTTTCCCTTCCGTTGGACCAGCAGATAGTCCGGTCGCGGTGGGCGTTAGACCTAACCTAACAAGCACCAGATACCATAGTTTAATAATACGTCGCATATGGTAGTTCCTCAATTCGATTTATCAGATGATACATCCTTTTATAAATTTCTTAAATAAAACTTGGAGAAAAGAAACATATTTATTGACGTTTACTGATTACTGACTGTGGTAATAGTGTCAGATCTGAAGTTTACTTCAAGAATCCGATCAATAAAGATCTATAGAATTCCAACTAATCCTTGAATACATCTATAGATTCTGAGTCATAACCCTTTCATGTATGACTTATTTGCTGCTAAAGTAAAACAGAAAGATCATTTACAATTACTTTACACTAAACGCATGTGAATATTAAATTCCATTTAGGGTAAAAGCATAGTAAGAATTTTTTTGGACACTATTGGTGTAATTGCAAAATTGCAATAAACAGATTAGTTACACTTATTATCGTAAGTCAACTGGAGAAATATCAATTTTTTTAATGTATTACAAAAAATGAATTTACTTGAAATGATAAATATAGACTGTAGAGTGTTCACAAGAAATTGTGGACGACAAACTGACGGACGAGAGCGACGGCAATATACGACAGCATTTCAATGTGGGCGTATAAATATGAAAACCCCGAACTTTGGGCACTCCCCTGCAAAGACACTATGTCTTACCCAAATCAAACTGGACCAAACCTATCTCCTATGGCTTCCTCTGGTAAGTTTCTTAGGAAACACCTGTCTACGATATCACCCATGGTGGAAGTGGACGTAAAACTCTAGGAACGAACGAACGAACCAGGTGCGTACATATCGATTTTGTTTGAGACCGACTGATGCACAGGCCCTTAATACGAGTGACTCAGCCACGAGCCGAGCACGACAGATGCGAGCTTTCTAGGGGAGTCCGAGGGGCATGCTGCCCCAGAGAAATGTTTGGTTCTAGAATCCCTGAAATGCCATTTCCTGGATATTTGGGGAAGATTTTGCAGAATTCTGATGGTCAGAAAATACTTCTTACATGAGCAAAATTGAGTACTACGCATGGGAATGCATGCTATTAATAAGAATTTTGCAAGAACGTATCAACAAAGATATGAGCCATGTCACCATATTATATTTTCATCAAGCATCCACGCTAAGTCAAGTTTGACCACCGATCGGCGATTTTGTCAAGATCCATAATGTCCGTCATTGATGCGTTCCTGTTTCATTACTGAACGCATAACAGTTTTGACTAATTTGAGCTTTGAAAATCTGGTGCGTATTGTAACATCGAATTAATGCAATCATAGGTATACACAGATATATTCATACATATATTAAGTATTTGGGATTTTCCCTTTTATTTTGGTATTTCTTGTTTACCCCATTAATTCAATTAGTCGCTATTTTTTTCTACACCCCCACATTTACGCCCCTGCCCCCAAACCGACCAGTGGTAGCAAGTTTTAGCTTAACCAGTAACAGTACAAGCAATACGTTGACGGCAACATGGTTTGTGATGCATAAGGTACTGTGCATCCATGATCAGCTCATCCAGAACGCACAGTCACCGCAATTAACATCGACTAAAATTACAATATTTTTTAGATCCCCTTAAGCAGTCAGAATTGTGCCAAGAAACCATGTTCAGAAAGTAACGTTAGTCCTACTAATACCTCATTTTCTGTCGCGACAGAGCCCATGGACGTCAAGATGATATACATTCGAATCCCAAATTTCATTAAATATTCCCATTCAGTTGCCGTATCAGTTGAAATTTGAGTTGTACTTTTGCAGTGTATTCCAAGGTTTGAAAGTCCAAATGCTGTCGGTAGAATTACCATGTATATGGTTCCTTCATAATTATATACCGTAGTTTATGGGCCGTTATCTTGGATGTGCTTCTATTTTAAGATGCCAGGTGGGAACTTAAATGTAATCAACAAGAGTAGTAGGCGGGATTATATGGTTATATATACATCACAAAATTGCTTCATTTACAAATATCACTTAAGCTGTTTAAATTTACAAGTGTACTTTAGAAGATTTGTGGGCTTAATGAATGTTTTAATATCACCTACCAGATGTTAATCTGTGCATGATTTGATTGTATAGAAAGAAAATACTAGGTCTATTATTATGACTAATTGTTTTAATCTTAATATTTTCCAGAATGGCAATATGAAACGCTAAAATCTATTTATAAATAGCTGACTGTTGGTGTCCAGTTGGTAAACATTTCAACAAAACACCCGTCCTACGAGACCTTCTAGCTGCCAAAAGACTCGTATTTTTCTACTTTCAGTTTAACCTGCTTTCAACTTTTATAACATTAATAACATCAGAGTGCATTGCATGTGGGAATAAGTTACTTGCTTAAAGTGGGGGATCACTCAAGTTATTTTTTTTAACAATATTGAAAGGTTTCGTTGAAAACGATATTAATATCTTCTGTTATAGTACATTATTTTGTTAGATCAAAATTACTATAGTTTCCTTCTTATAAGAAACGTCTTTCTAGCATCCATAACTCCAGATAAAATTGAAGGCAAATAGATATTCCACTAAATCCTAGTACCCACTGGAATCAGTCCAAACAAATACCAATAGATCGAGGTACGCCAACTAGATCGAATAAAACACTAATAGTTTGACGGTAACATTGTTAGCTCGAACGAAATTGTTGACGATTGCTTATAATGTATAATGATATGGCATCATTTGCCTTTCCAATTTTTTTCAAAAAACATTGTAAGCACGTGTGCTTTTATGTGTAAATCAGTTCTAAAATAAGACAAATGACATTATTTTAGTTCTGTAAATTATTTTGATGCACTGCATGACCATCAGCTCTATTAATTAATAAGCCCCATTATGTATAACCTTCAGTAGTGCGATTCGGTATTCGGTTTGCCGGATCTAGATGGAACGTCTAAAACATGATTTCTAATTGCACCAATCCAGTGGAATTCGGCTTTGGTCGAACGTTATCGCTTTGGTTCCATTGGCATTTTGTATGGCGAATATTTATTTTATCCGATCGCCACTAAGCAAGTTAATACAGTTTTCTCATTGAAACTGGACATCTTAAAAGGAGCGACATTAGTCACAGTGAGGGTAACATCTCAAGGTCGGACTAGCATCACACCCAGTCCAACACACTTTGCATTGTGGCAATTACACAAGATTTGATAAAGGACCATAACTCCGACAGTAATTATCGACATCGTGGAAAATCAACGAGTTTCAGCAGATAGGATGATAACTTTTTTTCACAAGTCTACAAAGTAAAGAAGGTCAACAAGCAATTGACGGCAGTTATTCTGTAGAGTGTTCACAAGAAAATGTGGACTAGCATTCGGTTGTATGAATGTTAACATATAAAATGTCGGGAGATGACTCTGTCCTTTATTTTTTAACGTCTGCATCTTGGTAATTTTCATACGTTGATATGCCTGTAGCCACCAAGCAATTTACACTGGATACTTTGGGCCTAAATGCTTACACTAGACAAGCGTACATTGGTGATCGTTTCTTCGAGAAAATGTCCATGGTCATTTTGACTGCTTGACGAAATCATAACCCTATCAATTACTTTTTAAAATATAAGAATAAGACACCATTCTAGCTATTTTACACTTTAATAGACAACTCGCATTGTTTTAAATATACAACCAGTAATTTGCCAATAATAAGACTAGGGTGGGGACCTATAATAATTATAATAATAATCATATCAAATAATTGGTATAATTAAAATAGTATAATTGATAATGTAAAATAGTAAGGTGTGAACAAATTGTTTCCAAATCAGTGGTCCAAAACTTTAAAGATTCAACGCCTTATGGTTCATTTTAATATTATTTGTTGAATATAGAGAATTAACTGATTTATGATGCGAATAAAAATACACCCACAATACATAAACAACGCTAATTAAATGACACGTCACGTTTTCTTAAAATTATGTCAATTCATGCATTCAATGATAATTTTATATATCTATGTAAGTATAATAGTATGTATGTATTTAATAATAAAAATATAATATATATCATGTAACATTTATTATTACACGCATATGATAATCCAAAATATTTTTAGATAAAAAAATTGATAAAATTTGATATATATGTAGTGATCAAATAATGGCTTTCAAATTAGTTCTTAATAAAGCAGCCAGTCAATTCGATAATTTCGTTGAAATAATACAGTTTTGTGTGCGTGAATATGTCACAAGCTAAAAACTAAAGTTTAAAAAATGACAATATAGAAAAATCAAAAATGATATAGGATATAAAATAATATTTGATATGATACTTGAAAGTAATAATTTATGGGAGGCATGAAATAAACTACTTCATCTAATTCTAGTCTTGCAAGTACCATTAAGTTGATTTTTAAGTATACGTGGAATATAATGATTTTAATTTTATTTGATGCATTCATGCATTGGTTATAAATTCAGTAAAATAAAAAAAACGATCATGCAATAAGCTAGTAATAAAAAGGGGTAATAAAAAGAATATTATAATATTGGTAGTAGTAATGTTTTGGGATCCCCACCACAGTCTAAAGTGACATGGAAATGTACATATACTTAATGCTCCCTGAGGTGTGGTTTCGCCTTTAACAACAAGCAACATCTTTCAATGAATGAACTTTAGGTTTCGCCGTAGACAATTATTACATAACTCATATCTCCAATGCCCATTTTTATGCTAAACACACAAGACATGGCAAAGTGCCGACGATAGTAAAATTTAGAATAAATGGCTATAGCCCACTAGGGAAAACTCTATCATTCTATTTAAATTAAGAAATTGTATGATCGTGTTTGATGCCTATGTAAATGACCAGACTAGTTAGTATTAAGAAACCAATATATCAATTTACAGAAATGATTAATCGACAGTTATATAAAACAACTGTGCTAGGTAAAATTTTGTTGGATCTTTGCTATCGTCAACACTTGTCCACTTAATAGAAAGTAGAGTTTAAGAACGCCATAAAAGATCTACTAGATTAACTACATATACAAATAATATAATCTTTCTTTTGCTGGGTCTTTTTATATTTTTTTTCATAAAAAAAACTAGAATTATTAAAATTAGACTCCTGACTACTCGTCACAACCCGTTGTTAGTAACATTTCCTCCGCGACATTATTTAATAATATCCTTAAAACCCGTTTGTCCTTGATAACAGCCTTTCTTGATTTATTCGCATTAAATGTATTCCTACTCAGATATTCAAAACTGTAAACTGGCTTTTCGAAAAACAAAATAAAACCCCCCAAAACACGAAAAGACTCCGAATATGTTCAGCTGTTATCAGAATGAATGTGTCGTTTTGTGCGCTTTAATTCCGAATGTTTAAGTGGGTGTACTTTGGTCTCAAATAACAAACATGGAGAGGACAAACGGATTTTAATTTCTCCTCAGTTTGACTGATATTGCAAAATTTTCAATGATGGTGTGATTTGCTGCTCGCGTTTTCTATGACTGAAGTAATACGCCTGGTCGCAAATGTATTAGTATGTCATAAGTACAAAATATGAGTAATGTTTGGTAAAAGTTTTGAACATACATACAAATGACGTAATCGTAGGATGAAATTGACCGGAAATATGTATAATCAATATAATCGACCTCGGTGACACTCTTCTTCTTAATTGTAATTGGTGGATTTTAAATCTCTATGGTCACAATGACCCATGTTAGTGTATGTGTGTGTGTATAAAAATATCAAGACTTCCATATATGGAGGTAGCTTTCATCTTTTTAGAGGTATTTGTATATTTTAACAACTTACAACAAAAAATGAAAAATAAAATTACTCTTGTTTCAAGATCTTCGCCATTATACTCCCTTAAGGTGGATAATACACAACGTAAAATACAGTCTTCAGAAGACGTCGCCAAAACGTTAGTACAACCTAACGTTCTCAAGATAACTCCGTTCAAGTTCAATTTACAATTTTATTATGAATTATTGAGATAACATGCTCAGTTTATCTCCGGTTACTTTTTAATGACATTTTTTTGAGATAACCTACTCAATATATCTCCATTTTTCACCGAGATAAGATTCACGTGTGATTCAAAATTTCGACAATGAACGACATTAATACGATGTAATAATTTGAGATCAAGTTGATTTTTAAGAAAAAGAAATATAAAAAAAATTTAACTTCTCGTTGCGGAAGACAATTTTTGTTCAAATACGCGAGGGACTTTAATTTTTTGTGGTTCTGTGGGATATTTAATATTGTATTTGGTATCCAGCTTCGTACTCATACAACTTTCTCTGTCGTCCACTAATGTAAAATATTTCCACTTACACAATTAGTTATATATTGTAGCAATGACAGAAACCTAAATAAAAAAGCACATAAAAACAAATGGTCTCAGTTGATTAAGAAAACAAACGAGCTCACTGAATAATTACACCCGACATTCACATGACAAAGTTTTGGCATTAAAAATAATTAAGGTATTTATGGTAATTAAGATGTTAATTTGGGAGAATTTTCTTTAACTCAATATGTGCCCAGGAAATACGACATGGTCGTAGTTATTCATATAAGTAGACACGCATTATCAAAAATACATAGAATTTTTAATACATAAACACAAATTAAAGTGAAAACTAGAGGTAGGGAAAAGTGGGGATGGAGCAACTAACTAAGGCGAACATTGCAACGGTGCAACCATTTTTGTAATTGCAAATTCAGTACCATTTTGACTAGGGGAAATAAATGTACATGTTATTTTTTTTTTTTTTAAAAATACAGCGACACCACCACAGGACGCCACTACAAGTATCACTACATTATAACAAAATTTATTTCAAAATAAAAATAATACGATATTGTCCTAATTAACACAAAATGGTTATTATTGTTTAATGAAAAATGACCACGGTCATACTAAAACTGCAATTTGGGTGCTGGAACTGTTAAAACTGTACCTGATACAGATAAAGAGGTATTCTGTGGTATTTATGTCACAATTATACGTCATACTAATGCTCACGCTCTTACAATGGACTTAATAACGAAATATAAGAAGGGGAAAAATCAGATAAACAATGGCCAACCATTAAAAATATCACTTGATCGGTGCTGAGCTTAGTGAGGTAGATCGCCATCCCGTTATGCCTTTGGCGCACGAGACAATGAGGAAGTGACGTCACTGTAAATGAAGTCCCTGTTAAGCTCAAGAAGAGCTCTTCGCTGGTTCGTTCCAACAATGTTAACAGGAAGACAGCTAATATCCTTTTACAAAAAAAAACACCATATCAAGAGAAAAATTCGAACAGTCTATCTCTAAATGATAATCGCACAAACGTTTTGTGACGTTTCACGTCAGTCCTATAAAACACAGTGACACATGAATATGACGCCGAAGCAGGCCGCAATCTCATGACGGATTGTCCAGAATCATGCCTTTATCCTGCCCATGTTTTGTCCAAAATTTCCCACAATTGCGATTGCGTCAGATTGGTCCTAAGCCATCGTTATCTGTTCCATTGGTTTCACTCCCCTTGCTGCCGTTGTTGCTGTCAGTGCGACTTTTGCGCATAGGGCAATCGGCTATCAAATGACCCGAAGACTTGCAGTTATGACATCGTTTTGGTAAGGGTCCATGCGGGCATTTCACAGCAAGGTGAGTTCCAAAATCTCCACAATTATAACATCTGAAATTCAGATAATATCACATTTTTTAATCCAAAAATATGTATATTTCAATATATAGATCAATTTTAAATGCATTGTGGGCATTGGTTTCATTTTGTGAAATAATATATTAAATATATTTAAGTTTAGGAAGCCGTGATCTGATTTAACATTGGCCAATAAAAGTAGCAGAAATATCTTGTGTGCTGAGGTGTCTGTTGACCATGTCAAGACAGCCACGGCTAAGAAATCCAATAATTATATAGACTCTCTCGTAGAGTTTTCCAATATCTTTAGTTCATGATATATCAGAAAAACACCGAGAAAAGGTCATATTGGACAGAAGCTTTTCATCTCTCAATCAAATTATAGTCTGTGTCCAATAGAAATATCGTTTAAAGCATGTGATGGGATAAAAAGAAAAGCCACGAAGAAAATGTTAATAGATATCTCGATTGGTCAGCAATGACTTCTTAAATGACATATAGCTCTAAAAGCAGCAAATCACGGATCGACCCAGTGGTCATTTTTGGACAAGGAGGAAATCTACAAGGAGATTCTATTATTAACTTTCCCATTATAACTGGTCAAGCAGATCGCTGAAGGCCCCCTAATCAAAACAGCCAGTTTGTCCGGATTCATTACATAGATTGATTGGGTGACCGGGCTTCTTAAAGTTGCCATGGTTACTTTTGGCTCCCTTGCGCAAGTGTCGTGAGCATTACTACATATATACACGGGTTTCTTTGTTGACCCATGGTCAGCTTTTAGAGTCGGTAAATGACTGTGTGCTAATAACTTGGCCAGGTGCAAGGCTATGACTGATTTATTTACTCTCATGTTCAAATAATCAAGCTAGACACTATTTTTGACGACATGACGTTATTCTAACGGATTGACAACATGGCAACAAAAGATCAAAAAGCTCTCCCCCATGCACTCTCTCGGCCTGGTCCGGTAACCTATTAAAATATATTGTTTACACATTAAGTCAACTACCTTATTTTGCGGAATTTCTTCCTTGACATAGGTCTTCGGTCACTTCCTTTACATTCTCCACCACTTGGACCCGTTACAAAAGTCGCTTCAACACCCTTTCCAGAAGGCTTAGCTTCAAATTCAACCTCTTCTCCTTCACCAAGACTTCGAAATCCTGATTTGTACACCACAGACTGAAAATAAACAAAACATTTAATTTCTTATTCAGGTAGAATTCAATAAATAACCTATAGCAAAAATGATATTTCTTTTTTTTTATAAAAATGGTGAAATGAATAGGTACTACTCCTTACCGAGAAAATTTCAGCATCATGCAATGGCAATCCTCATAAAATATCGGTAGGTCAATGACTAAACAGTTAAATTTAACAGATCTATCCTAATCACTAAGGTCAGATTATACTTCTTAGATTATACTTCGTTTGCGTAGCAGTAAAACCTTTAGTTTGTCTTGTTTCAATATTTTAGTCAATACAACAATTATGTAATTTATTTTCTAACTGCAATTGTTGTTTATTTCCAAATCAGTATCATTTCAAGTTTATGTATATCTCATCAGAAGTTCAACGTTCTACAAGAAAGTGCCATAGATGTCCAAATAAAGGAAGGTGCCAAAAGTTACTATCTGGGGAATGAACTCATCACGCTGTTTATTCCTATCACCTATTCCACCATGAAAGATCAGGTAATCTATATTGTCTGTTTTCGTTGTCATGGTAATACCCGATCCATAATTAGCCGTTACCGTCCATCAAATTTAAGAGATTCTAAAATTAACTTTTTCGATCCGTTTACACATCACAGTTTATTTTAGGAAGAGAAAACACAACCTGTATAACTTTCATTAAAATATCTTTAATCTGTACCATAAGAGATTCTAGAAATAACTGTCTGGTGAAATGTATTTGAGTTGAGAATAAACCATCAATTAAAAGACGAGGTCTGCCTTTTTGTGATCTTTTAATTAATGGATTATATCAAGCATGTTGCTATTTATATATTTTTGATTTTGAATATAATTCAAGTATGACACTCTCATAGATTGTATATGAACAGCCTAGAATGCTCTTTTCCTTTTCAATTAAAATTATCGGGGTCATCTTCGACTAGAACGGAAAGAAAAAGATATAACTATCTGTTTAAAGGGGGTTAATATCAAAATTCCTTCTTTATGATAAATGGGTACAAATGTGGCCAAAAGAACCTATGGGGTCCTTGTGTATGACCACTCCTATACCTTACTATTGCAAGCGATCAATGGCCGAAAATATACAATGGACCCTTGACCTTTGGCCCACGTGTGATGCGAAATTCCCTTTAAAGTCGGTACGTGGATACCCCGTCCCTAACATCATCGATTAAGCAAGATGTTACTATGCTACAAGAGTGTGGTCATTGGTTGAAAATAGGGTTATTATAGTGGGATCATCCTGTAGAATAATATTTGATATAACCGGGTTAATAGTTTTCAACCTTTCACGCTCTATTCAAATTTTCCCCCTACTTCCATATTGCTTACTGATTATTATACAGTTTATTTAAATGTTTCATAAATTATTAAGAGAAGTTTCCTTTTTGACTCTAGTTACTTCTGGTTTAAGTGGGTCACACATGCTGGGCTAAATTCCAGCTTATTCATTATAGTATTTTGCACCTTGACGACTGCGGTTTTTACGGGAGTAATTGGATGTAAAATGTAGCACTAACATTTAAATATTATCTGAAATCCCAACAAAAGACAATATTCTCGGCATATCACGGACGTTTGAAATTATTATATCTCAATTGAGGTTTTATTTTAAGAAATGGTTATGCCACACCTGTGTCAATTATTAACATTTTGTGAAAGTGATTAAAGGTATAATATTTTCTTTTAAAAAAAAAGCATTATATCTTCTTTTTTTAAAAAAAATAAATGTCGGTTTGGCGATATTTATCATCATAACATCATGGACAGAATTAATAGCAAACTATATTTTTTTTTGTCTCGTAATGTTTTCATTAATTGTTGTATTCAACTGTTTAAAAGGAGTGTATGAAAAAGAAGCAGAATTAGTGTTACTATATTTGTCTAAGAGGAAGACACATCGAGGTATAAAACCAATAGAAACCAACGGAAACTTAACTAATCGATTTAAATAATATCTGGGCTTTAAATAAAAGTAACCCTTCGGGTTGTGTATATGGTTTTAAATCAAATACTTAACTTTAATTCTAGTATGTTTGAAATACATTGAAATACAGAACTGCACATCCTATAGGTTAACAAATGATTAATGCAAGCATTAATCAGAAGAAAGGCGTGCCATTTATTATTGGGTGCACACGATAAAATAACTGCACGCCAACGGGTCAATAATCGCTCAGATTCGGGAGGAGTTACGAACTGTAAAATCAACACAACGCAGCTATTGTGCAGCTGCATCGTAAATGCACATCGGTTTAACGCGTGCACCTGCTAACTTTTATATGATAATCAAAGCATCTCTCGCAAACACGTCAACTCCTGGTGTCTTAACAGGAAAAGCGTTGACTTATGTGAAGATTATGACATGAGATATTCGGACAATTATGTTCAATAATCAATAAATAATTGACTTTTTCACGCTGAAACGTTAGAAAGATATTATACGTTTGTTTAAATACCCCAAGCCCAACAATTTCCAAAGCACGAGTGCCGTACTTCACTGGTTGATGAATGTTTACACGAAAATCTGAAGAAATGATAACTGTATTTTTTCTTGGTTAACCAAGAGAGAGTTGGTTTCAGAGAATGATGAGAACCACAATACAGACTTTGCTAGTTTAGTTTATAATAATCTTATTGTTCGAGACACTGTCGCCTCGGGCTGTCTATGATTACTTTCTTCTAATTTAATCCATCGCCACTATTGGCTACTAGCGAATTTATTAAATATTTATTGAAGTCCACCATGAGATAATTTTATCCTTCAGTTAGTGTATACCTTAACCAGTCGGAACTATAGGGGTAAAATAGTTAAACAAGGATCAAGAGCTGTTCTAAAGACAGTAATTGGTATATAGGACATCTGCAGCGTATAAAATGATATCGTTGGCAATTTAAAATAATTAATTTTAGTAGGCAGATCAAAGATTATATATGATCATCACATTAATAGTATTTTACTAATAATATTAACCCTTTTTTTCTAAAATATTTATTCAAGCCCTTTCTCATATTTTTAGGTAGTTCATTCATAAATTTCACTTTAATGGTTCAATAAATATCCTTTGGTAGAACTACAATTTTTATGTCACGCCCAATTAAAATTAGATAATAAAAAATGTTCTTGTGTGTATCAAAAACCCCTTGAAAACAGAAAATAAAAACACATGCGAAGGCTTAAAATGAATGGAAACTTTTGAATCGAATTAAAGACCTTCAATGAGTCGATTAAAAAAAATATCGTTTGGAATAATGTCTAGAGTTGGACAATAAAAACAGTCCATTGTAGAACTGACAATTTAGGGCTAAAGACAACAATATTAAAAGACAACTGGTCAAACTAAACGTCTAGCTTATCTGCGTATTTATTATAGGAATATATACAGCGATTTCCTAAGAAAAAATTACAAATTGTTTCTCTAAGCTAATAATAAAGAATTTTACCTGGTGTACAAATACGTCTTGTGTTCCATCGTCAGGTGTAATAAATCCCCAACCTTTGGCTACATTAAACCACTTACAATGTCCTCTCTTTCGGCCTCCTCCCCCTCCTTAAAAGAGAAGAAATATAAAATCTATTATTAATATCCTAAGCCAAATTAAAATAAATAACAAAAATACGCAAATCAATGCGAATTGAATATTCTGAATACTTCATTGAATTTTAAAAAGGTAAACAAGTATATTTTTTTTAAGTTTTATGAACAAAAAATATCTATATCGGTTTCAGAGGAGAAATGAGAGAATTATTTTTTTCTCAGAAAATATGAAACTAATCTGTTAATTAATTTACAACTAGAAATATGCGACTGCTAATACATGACCCCGGCCCTTTGAAATTAACAACTATCAATTTCAAAACGTATTTCCGCATTGCGTAGGTAGGTAGATCAATGATAGGTATAGTTTATATTAAATGGTAGACTATAATGACTTCTAAGTACTACCTATATCACCATATAAGATTAGTTTCGTCCGTTGGGCTTTAACAGATCTGCAATCACTCTTTATCTTTACGTAAATAAAATTATTCTAGCAATGAAACGGTTTATGTTTCGTTAATCAGTAAAAGGCATGTGGAATTCTCTGTTAAACAGACCATTGGCAATGAAGTTATGTTAATGAAAAATATTTCACAAAAAAAAAATGTATAGCGGAAATAGCCTGCCAACAACAAAAACGCCGGAAATCTAATATATAGCTTTATTCTCGGGAAAATAAACAATACAACACTATTTGACCGAAAAATAACCTTTCAGCTAGCAGCTTAAGTTGGCCATTGTCCAGTTCAGACCCTGGTCTGGTCAAAATAGCATTTAGGATACAATGACCACATGTATGGTATCTGAGTGTAACAACCATATAGAAAGCTTTTCTTTATTATCAAAGAATTTATTCTAGGCACTTCCCATGGTAGTAATTGACAGTTTTTAAAATAAAATATTTCTGTTTTGATGATCCATAAAAATACCAAATGCAATCTATGGTAACTTGCTGAATAAATAGAGTACACTATTAATTAAGTCAATTTTGATTAAAATACGCGTAAAATGCTGAATAAATTATAACCAGCACAGATTAACTAATGAACCAAATCCATTAAAACACAAATATATAATCTCTAAAAGGGATTAAATAACAAAACCTTGTGAATTCAAATAACTTGCCACAATAAATTGTTCAAAAATTTAAAAATTGATTAAGTGAACCATGTACTGAAAACAGTTCAATAATACCAAATATTCTATTTTAAAAAGAAGACATATGTAGTTTAGAAGTGAAAAAATTAAAAATCTTACTGGGAAAAGTATTGAATATAGGATCGTCCGTGAACATCGAACTACGACTTAAAACAGGGTATAGTACATTCTGATTGAAATATCGATAATAAAGTTGGTTGTGTGTACGGCGTTAAATAAATTCAAAATGGCTCTCAAGGGAGCCGCCATTGGCCTAAAGAACCGAGTTCTGAATATGCAGTATTGGATTCACAAGATAGATCTCGGATAGCGTGCTATAGATGTAAAACTCGTCTAACTAATATGTGCTGAAGCTGAACCATACTTCTTTTTATTAAGATGAAAGTCCACATATTGTTGGATGAGAAAATGGCGCGATTGTTTCCAGGCGTGACTAACAAATTCGTCAATTAGCAGGTGTACTTCAAAATTATGATATTGAATCTATAATGTTTTATATGATTGTATTGAGAATTTAATTTTACAATTCTTGGACCTATTTTAATCCTCATATGTTACAATTGAAAGTTTAACTTAATTGGCATTAATACACATTCATACTTGCGCATAAAATAATTTCACAGATAAGAATGGAAAAATGATTCCAACGATTCAATTATTATTTTGCAAATTTTGCAAATAAATCTCACACTTTATATTGTAGCCGGCACCACTATGAGGGCTATTGTAGCACCAACCTACGTTAAATTAGTGGTTTTTTTAACAAGTCTTTATTCACCTCAATATAATATTTATCTATTAGATAAGTTAATTTTAATATTCTATATAGACATACAAACATGCATATTGCAAATTAAACTTTACAATGGTAATACGTGTATTTTCCCCCTTTTTATTCGATTATATAAATCTGGAAAAATAAGACCTAAACCGACACTATTTGAATGTTTTCTAAATAACTATATTTATAGGTAATTATTCAAACCCCAACATATTGTTAAACTATAATAATTCTTATTTTGATAACTATTCAAGAATTTAAACAATTATTTGAATATTATATTGTTCCCACATATGCTCAGTACAATGACAATAATATTAGCTATATATTATTATCAGTCAGATTCCTTCAAGGATCGGGGTTTAACATTAGAAGTTATCTTACAGTATTAACCTCCAGGAAAGTATTCATCGTATAATATTTGGATACTCCTAGGAGAACAATTCGGGCACTATTTTCTGAAATTATATGCTAATTTTCTTTTATTTATTCGATCGAGGATATTATTCGTAGGAAGGAAATGTTGAACGGGTTTATATCTTCCGAGATATCGATTTTCCCTCAACCCGCGCAAAGTCTAAAATAAACACAGTTCTATCATAACCTATATATGTAACGTAACATAAATTCAGGTGTAAAAACTGATCACTGATCAGCATCTTATCAAGTGATCTTCACATTATTACATGTAAAACTAACATATATCACATTATCCCATCTAATACTAATATTGCCACACCATGTATTCACAAGAAGTATAAACATAAATCAATTCTAGCCAACCCAAAATAACATATAGTTATTAAATCGTATCATAAGCGTTTATTAATATCGATTCAAAATAATATACCCAGAAAACGTCATAGAATAAAATAAGACAAGGGACACAGTAACTTACATTATAAAAATAATCATTCAATCGATTAAATTTCAAAACGGAAAAAGTATTGCTATAGTATGAATATACTGCAGTTAAAAACTAATGCGATAAGATCCATATTTAAAAAAATATATAATCAATTGATCTTCTGAAAGCAGCGCATTATCCATTTAATCATTCAAAGAAATACAATTGGTCGATTTAAAACATTTAATCCAAACCGACACTGCTGTAACCAAATTGTGTAGTTGATGATAATACGTGTAATAATAAATTAAACATTGAGAATATTGGTGATATTACTAACTACCTGGACACTCAATATTACAAGTATACAGACTATCGATTATTCACTTTCCATAAATATTGATCAAAAGATAAATATTTACAATTTTAGATTTTTAAACCCACCATTAAGGAACAAGAGCTAATGTTCTTATTTTAGGCAAGTCTGAAAGCATCATTCTCAACAATTTTGATTTAATATAACTACCACAAATTAAAACTGGGATCGATCAATAACTCAATAAAGGCAAGAAGGGTAACATCCCTGAAAAGGGAGTTAATATATGAGCTGAATCCTAGCTGGGGGCATGTCACTACAAAAGCATAACAATGGCCATTAAATAGGTCAAACTGGCCTAATTCTAATGACCGGCGTACGTGCCGAGTGGTTGGACGGCATTAGTGCCAATAATGGCTTAGCATGTGGAGCACATGCAGTAAGTGATTAATATAATTATTAACGACAATCTTAGTGGACAGTGGCTAAATGTATCTTCCTCATGCTTCAATGACACACAGTGATTTTTAGGGATTTGTTTTAATTTGACTGTCAGCGCTGAAACTAGTTGGCTTTGTCATAATGTCTCATCTTAACTCATGACACGTTAGTCTGGCATCAAAACTTATTGTTCGGGCATGTTGCAGACCATCACATTAAACAATTAAAAAAAAGAATAATGAAACCATCATGTGGGACGAATTCATGTTAAATGAGATAGAGCACTACCATCATGTTAAACCTATTCGAAAGTTAGTTGACCTTTGTCCAAACAAGACGACGTGCCCGTACACGACAGAACCTTTTCGATACCCCTATTCGCCAACTGTTCTTGTTCTGAAAAGCCTTTAAATATTAAATGTTATAAATTGAAATCTCTGATAGGATATCTTTACTAGGTAGAATTCAGTTTCTATGAAATCCAGGCCAAAACATTTCCCCAGATAGCTTAAGTAGTCACGGTTGTCGTGCAAAAGGCATGATACGTTATCACAGCTCCCATATTTTTTTATAATGTTTTCTAAAATACAGTTATTTACATAGAACATCAATTATTATTGCAGAAAACTAGCAGCTAAATCCCATTTGTATCTTAAATCAGTGTGTACATTGATCTTACATATCAATGGAGTTCATAACATTTTTGCCACAATACGATCTAATAAGACAGACAATTTACAATATTTAAAATAAAGATATTAATCAACTCTAAATCAGTGTTTGCCTTATCAAAAAGACATAGCAGGGAGCCTTGTAAAAAATACTATGTTCTACTATGCAAAAATACAATAAAATATGTTATTAAATCAAAAGTGGTATCAGGTATTCTACAAAAGGTACACCGCGTACATATCATCAAAACAATACACAACGTACTGGGTTATAAGGATGCTTTACTGCATCACTCATTCTGATAAATTTGTGGAGGGTGAGTGGGAAGGTGTATCTTTAAATGAGCACCGATGTACGTGTACCCACACCCCTGCGCTATAAAAATTTATCATAGCTAATGAGTACTTCCTACCAACGTGTCAATACCTCACAAATATATACATTTTTACACACATACGATATTATTAACATACGTTAAGTATTTCAATTTACTAAATTTAAAAAGACATCAGTTTTGGCCAGTACATGGTTGTCAAACTTGTAATGAAAACTCATCGAAGATATATGATGATAAAGTGCAATGTACCTGCTCTATAAGTGACTGAAGACATCATACCGAAAGACAAGAGTTGCCATTATACTTTCCTTACATATGAAACATCTTTACATAAGACGCCATAAGCTGATTGAAATTCCTGGAGATTGTAGACGCTAGGATATTGATTGATTTTTAAGACTCGTTTCTTCTGCTTCCAAAGCACACTTTCGGACAAAATGTCTCAGACGGGGCGGGG